TATATATATATATATATATATATATATATATATTTTTTTTTTTTATGTTGGAAGTTTAAATATTTGTCTTTAAAAATCGAGAAAATAAGAATGCTTAGCGCTAGGTACCAATGTTATTAGTGTCCAAGCATTGATACTTTTATCCCACACGTTCGATTCGCCTATTTTCGTTCCGTGGCGTTGCATTATTGCAGGACTCAGAAATTGCCGCACGCATGACTGCCGGCTCGGTTGCGCACAATAATCCTGCCAGTTAACTGGCCGTACAATGCGCGTAGTTTAATTATCTCTGATGATCTCAATGCGACGGACAATGGCGATCCGTTCCTTTATGATACGCGGCCGCGGAGAAACCGGCGCGTCCAGAAGTTTGATGTTTCGCTGTTGCAAATTAATCGGATTTCCGATTCGCCAGATATCGTCGTCAATCGACGCGATTAGCGATTCATCGAAGACGAACGAAAACTCCTCGTCGAGTGCTCGACCGAGGCTAGTGGAAGAGTGATTCTTTCCGAGGGAATTAGCTTCTGGGAATCACTGAAGCGTTCATAAAACGCTCAAATCGTCTGCGTTCAGCAGAAGTAAACGCTTAGTGAGCGCTTAGTGATTACTATCTGTAAATGAAGTATACTTTTAGATTCTTGCACACGGAAGAATATCTTTTTATTTTCTCGAAGAAAAACGAAGATTACTCAGTTCACTTTCCTTCTTTTAGGCGATCACATTCGGTAATAACGTTGTAGTTTGCAGGAAAAAACTGATCGTTTGTTCACATCATTAGATCTGTTCGATGAACTTTGCACCAGTGCAATAAATTAGAGAGGGACTAGTATACTTTTCTTTAATTTGCAATAGTTTGCACTTTATAAATCTAACAGTTGATCATTTTGTCCTTTACAATCATGTCGCCATCGTCAACGCGAAATTCTCGGCTGACCGATCAGGAGCCTTGAGCGTTTACCAAGTGTTCACTTTTGCCGAACACAAAGATGGACGTTGTCTCTGATACAAGAGTCATTTCGTCGCGAGGGTGGCGCGAACGTGGCGAAAGAAGTTGTTGGAGAGAGCCAGTCTCCCGATTTCTCTCCTCCGTCTTTGACCGATCTCTCCCGATCGCCGAGCGTATCGGCCGCTCTCACCGACCCCCGAATCCATCCGGATAATAACGACGGCCCTAATGAGCGCGACGTATGACTCGCGCGGACTATAAATACACGGATTATCCGAGCGGGGCCGTTATTACCGGCTCTTTTCTCCAAATTGCCTGGGTCGTCGCGGTACAGCGCACATTCAGACAAGGCATACCCACGCTTCGCGTCGCCTCTCTCGCAGACGAGCGAGCGGGCGGGCGAGGGCGCGCGTGTGCGTGGCCTCACGCACACGCGACACACCTGTCCCAGCTCGCACGTACGCTCTCACGTACACGGGATACACCTGCCACCACAGAGAAACGCGCAATTCCACGCTAACTCGGGCGCACCCTCGGCTCTCCGGGAAGGCCCCTACGTCGCGAGGCGGGCGACCCTCTTCTTCTCTTCTTCTGCTTCTTCCTTTTCGAGGCGACCCACCTTTCCCGCTCAGTACCGGGGAACACCTTGTCGAGCGCGCCGCGCCGAGTAATCGAATTTCGAGGCGCGTCGCATCGTTCGTTCGTTCGTTCGGAAACGTCAAATCGCACGGTCGATCGTGGCAGAAACGTCGGGAGATTTCGGCTGCGAGATCGAGGCTGCGCGGGGGTCGGTCACGTAGTTGCCAAGTGGAAAAAGGAGGAATGCAACGTCGTCGTGTGAATTCGCGCGAGTTGCGATCGTGCGTGTTTCCTTCTTCTACGAGCCGAGCTTCCTTCCGGCGGAGCTCGATGGGATGAGACGCGCGCGCGAGCAATGGAAAAAGATCGTTGACGATTGTGTGACCGACTTCACGTCGCGCGATCGAGTTTACCATTAGGATGCGATGGTCTGTGAGACATGGAACGTAGACAGATATATGTATACACACACACACACACACACACACTTTTCGGACACAAAATTCTCCCGGCTATTTCGGCCGACACGATGCTCGACAATCGCGCAATTGTTTAAATCAATGTAAACATCCGACGTCAATGAGTGTTCAATCAGGAAATGCACATCACAACGAGGATACCCGGCGTGAATGACGTGAATGACGCGATCGTCAACAATACGTGCATTATCCAGCGCAACAATAGTTGCGAATCGCCGCTTAATGAATTCGCGCGCGGTTGCGTAATGGCGAAAGAAAGAGCGCGCCGGTGAATTTGTCGGGATAAATCGACAGCACGACGAGATTCAACGCAAACGACCATCAATGTGAGATTCGAGCGAGAGTATGGCCCGATCGACTGTATATAAACGATGAAAATAAACAAGAAGAAAAGATGAACCGTAAGCAAAGTGGAAAGTCGGGGAATTGACGATTCTTCTGCAACAAACGCCAAGATGAAGTTGTTCGATTGCACTCAGTGCTTAATGACGTTGCATCGGCGACGCAAGTCGCAGCGACGACGCAGCTACGAGACGACGGACCCGCTGGTGATGACGAAACGGCCGTCCAGCCGTCGCCAACGTCCTCGCCGCGGCGAGTCCGCCTCTTCGCGGAGAGCTGCTGGCTCTTCGCGCTCCAAGACCCGGCTTCTCAGCGTGGTGCGTCGATTCAGCGCGTCGTGGAGGCGAGGACGGGTGATCGCGAGGATGACGGTCGCGAGGAGCAAACTGGAGGCACGCCCGAGGCCGAAGAAGAAGTTGCTCGCGAAGACCGACAGACCGAGGCGCGTGGGAATATCCAGGACATTTAATAGAGCCTACTTAAGGAAGGAAATCGTGAGCGTGGAAACGCCGGGAGGCAACGACACCGGGCAGGAAGACGACGCTGGCGGAAGAAGGGCCGGGCAGCTTGAGCGTGAATACTACGAGCACCTGGAAGCACTCAAGTTCCTCATCGACCCGCCGCCGTGTTTCCGCAACACGGAGACCAGGCAGAACTTCGAGAACAAGTTGAACAGCCTGGACTTGAGGCGTATGAACACCGTGGCGATCCCGGAGGGACCCGTGGCGAATGGACGGCACCGGGACGCGAAGCGTCTCAACGGGTTCCGCTGGAGCCCGATCCGTGAAAATGGCGGCTTATGCGGCGATCGTGAGAGGTCGTGCGCGAAGACCCTGGACCGTATCGTGGAGGAACGTCTGAGGATCGAGCGGACCATGCTCGATCTGTTCGTCAAGGCGCCGATCTTGAAGAGCAACCACGGCGAACAGATGCCGTACGCGCGGGAGAATAAAACCGTTCGTTTCAAGGACGAGGTGGAGCGAACATCTGTCGGGCAACGGGCAGGATCGGAGGGCGGTGAACGTTACGATAAGGCGGAATCGAGTAATCGCACAAAGACAGAGATCACGAGGAAGAAGGACACTTGTCGGGACGGGCTGCTGGGCGAGAGTTCGGAAATGTTCGATGTCGAAACAAGGAACGGTATGTAGCGAGATTCGATTGGGCGAGCTGTTCATTTAACAGAAGATGGACAGAGAGAGAGAGAGAGAGAGAGAGAGAGAGAAAGGTAGATAAACCGAAATAATCCCGGGTTTGGGATTTTAATTAAAATATATATTTAAATTTGGGACTCAAGGATCGGTCTAAGTATGGAAGGTTGATTCTCCGCGTACGTTAGTCGAAGAGAAAATTTCGATATGTGCGTTTGACATATTGGACATTTTTATCCTCCTACAATTATATTAATATTAAAATTATATTAGTATTTAATAGCACTAAGACATTCGTGCTAGCTCCTTATGTGCCATTACAATTTCACGAAAGGTAGATAGATAGATAGATAGATAAATAGATAAATAGTAGGAGAAGAAAAGACAAGAGGAGGAGGAGGAGGAGGAGTTGAAGAAGTCGTCCCGATAAATATTCATAAAACCCTCGTAAAATTTTGTGAACAAGCGAGCGTTCCTTAAATAATGTAATCCGCCGTGGACGTAGATCGGAACTCGATAAGCAAATGCGTAATTCAATTATGAGTTTAATGAATGTGAGTTTGCGAGGCAACTGGGGCGCGGAACTTTGCGTGGCTCCACAGTGAACCTTCCTAAGCCGAGCGATCTCGGGCGCGCCAAGACGAACTGCTTGGCGACGCGAACGGGAAAGCGGAAGCAACCCGACTAGAAATTTATCCCGTGCACTGAGAACATTTTTAAAAGGAATAGTGATTATATATTTGAACGGGGATGCTGATGATAACGTATTTACTTATTCTGATACAAGATATTTTTCATACAATAAAATATACATTTTCTTGCACAGATTAGAAAACATATCTAAAAATATATTTATTCGCAGTGCGTACTAACGACTTATGTAAGAATTATTAATAATTACGGCCTTATCAGTTATGAGGACCCAATCATCTTGTATAAGCCAGATAACTGAAGCCAGATTGGGATCAACCTGATTCGGGCCTGATATGGGATAAATTCCTTGTCGGGGATGAATCTCGTTTGCGAGATTGTATAGAGAAAAAAATTTACTAAGTTTGGATAGAATTGTGAACATATTTGTTTAAATTAAGTAATGAATTTCTAAAATTAAAGAAAAAAAATTTATATTTAAAACTTCTTTATTTAATTTAAGAAAATAATATTATATTATAATAAAAGAAGTTTTAAATATAATAATGTTATACTTCAAACTTCTCAATTAATTTAAGAAAATAATTACTTAATTTACAGTATAACATTTTAAGTATAACATTATTATATTTAAAACTTCTTTTATTATAATATAATATTATTTTCTTAAATTAAATAAAGGAGTTTTAAATATAAATTTTTGTTCTTTAATTTTAAAAATTCATTACTTAATTTAAACAAATATGTTCACAATTCTATCCAAACTTAGTAAATTTTTTTCTCTATACAATCTCGCAAACGAGATTCATCAAATATGTTCACAGTTGTATCTAAACGAACGTTTTTTTGAAATTTAGTAAATTTTCTTCTCAGTGTACGCTAAGCGACGCATCGTGCATCGCTGGAGAAATAACCGGATGGCCACACGACGCTCGTCCGCGAAGTCCCGTCGCGGAACTTCGCGGACTTGCACAGCCCGGTGAACTCGAGCGAAGTATCTCTCGCGTCGATACAACTCACGTCGACTCGCGCGGCACGTTGCTTCTGTCGAAGCTCGATCGCGTCTATATGAGCGGTTCTTGCCGCTGCGAACGAGGCGGCGCAATTAGTAATGCGTCATTACGCTCGCTTTTCGAGGGGCATCCGATTCTTTAAATAGAGGATGCACGAAGGCTATATAAGAGCCACGTCGACGCTGTCAGCGAGCGCAACGAAGCTTTCGAGCTCGATAACACACACACACACACACACACACATCGATCTCGCAGTTCTCGCAATCTCAGTCGACCGAAGCGAACTGTCGTCGTTTTTTTTCTCTTTTTTCTTTTTATCGTTGTTAAACGCTAAAGTATTACTCAACTTCTCTACATCACACGGGTTACGTAAGGTCGTGATGTCGCGCCGAGAGTTTCCCGTGAGCGACGGTGTCGGACAATGCATCTCCTCGACGAAATTAACGAGGCTGCATCGACGAGACTATAATTATTATACTGCAGTTCTTCGCGACAGGCTTTTGCGCTTGACATTTATGCGCCGATATTACGGCCAATGAAACGGCACTCGATTTACGTCGCGAAGTGCCGTAGCCTCGAACGAACAATGCGCCACAGGAAATAGCAGTCCCCGTTTGTCGAGCGGGCTTGTTTGAACGGAAATTGTTCCTTTATCGCTGCGCGAGCAAACCGCGCGCCAGATATCCAAAGCAGCCATCCGTGCACGCGGAAAATGTCGTGAATAATAAACGTAATCGTGTTCTGACCGCGCGAAACGTTCGATTCGCAGTGAGTCGAAAGCAAATCATCGAAAGTTGACTTTAGCGCGATTCTCACTCGCCATCTTCCCGAGTCTCCTTGAAATTATATATCGGTCGAACGCTGAGGTCTACACAAACACGCGCGGAGCTTAAATAAATATCTACCCTTAGTGTTGGACATTACTTGAAAATTTTCTTTGACCGAAATAATTGGCAAATCAAGACAAATTAATCGTCTTGTATGTACACGCAAAAAAATTATTTAGTATCAGCTAAACAGCTGATTCAAACTTAGTCAAAAGGCTAATCGTTTAGCTGTCACTGCTAAGAATTGGCTATGACAGCTAAGATGCATTCGCTATGAAATACAAATATATTAGGTGACATTAAAAATGCACATTATTTGAAGTAGCTAAGAAAATGGCAGTTATTCCTAAATTTCTTATCGTATGCATATATTAAAGAAGTTTGCCTTACAGCTACAATCATTTGTTACAGTCATTTATTTCTAGCAGCTAATATTTCTCGCTGTAGCGCCTAAGTTTAACAGCGAATAAATTTAGCTTCGACATTAGCTGTCCCTAATTCAGAGTGACACATCTTATCTGCCACAGCTATTTTTTTAGCTCTGGAAGCTAGTTCTTTTTTTGCGTGTAATCACGATTGATAAAATTAATTATTAATCGATATATAATCAATCAAAATCAAAATTTGATTAACAATTGATTTCATCAGTTGATCAAGTTATTCGTGATTTTATAGATGACGATTGATGGAACGTGCGATCCATGCATATCAAGTTCCCAAAATTTCGAGTAAAGAAATCACAAATTTACCCAATAACGTCGTGGAATTTTTATCAGAACCTGACATATAATAAATAATCTGAACTATTTTAATAAAAATGTTATAAGTTTTCATTTAAAGCATAATTTAGCATATTAGGAATATCGTAAAATCTTACGCTGTAAAAAAAGAAGAAAGACAAAAGACACGCGTAAAAAAAGAAGAAAAACAAATGGAGGAATGAATGAGCCGAGGTGAAAAATTCCATGCTTCAGTGGCGCGTTATTAAAAGTGCGGGCTGCAAGGGCGCGGGTCTTAGGTCGCAGTTGTCTGGTCGCATGGCGTGTCGATCGATTATGCAACGGACAGAGTCGCCGGGCAATAAAATATGTCACGCTGACCGATTGCGCAACCGGCGAGCGGGGATCGAAGGAAATCCTTCGCGACGGGTTTGGCCGCGCTCGCTCCCTCGCTCCGCGGACGCAGGACGCAGGGCGCAGCCTGCGAAGGACGAAGATAGAAGACGCGGACCGCGGAAACGTGGGCTTGGCACCTTCGGGGCATGACGGGGCGCACCCATCGCATCGCACGTATTAACGCGCCCGTGGCGAATAACGCGAGCCCATCTCGCCCATCGGCTGAAAGTAGCTCGCAACGTTTCCTCTAAATCACCGGCGGAGCCCCGCCGTGCGACTCCTTCTCCACGGAGAGGAGAAGTTTCACAGCGGCGCGAAATTTCCGATTCCATGGTGTGCGAGGATACTCAAGGCGATGCTGGATACCGATATAATGCGGTTACGTAATTTTCTCTTTTCTTCTATTTGGACGCATCTGAGTGAAAATGCCTTTACGTTGAAAGTACAAACGTCAACGAATGGCTGAACAGTCGCATGAAATCAAGAAAAAATTGTTCATTATAGGTCGGTAAATGAAAAATTTTTGTTGATTTCATGCGACTGTTTAGCGTTCGTTTGTACATTCACTTTGTAAAAGCATTTTCAATTTGAAGAAAAGCATCCAATTAGAAGAAAAGAGTAAAGTACGAAACTACTTTAGGTCGATCTGCAGCGTCGCCTTAAGAGGAGGCTTTAATTTATTAATTAATCGCGTTACGCGCGACTAAGAGAATCTTCCGTCCGTTTGAAATATCGTGGGATTACGCCTCCTTGAGAGCAGCTAACTAACCCGGCTTTCAATTTCTACCTCGCGTTTCTGTACGAGAAGCGGCCTAAACCCTGCCGCGTAATCCCCTTCGATCCAATTACGCAATTAACGTGATATATTTTATCGTCGTCGCGTTTCTCGTTGCGCAACCGCAAGGTTACAACTCCCTGCTGCGTGATGTGATCTCATTTCTCCCTCTCTTTTTTTTTTCTTCAATTTTTTCCACGACCTCCCCGTGGAGCACCCCGTTTCTGGGAGACGCTCGTCCCGCTCGACGATCGACGCGATCGGGCGTCGACGAATTAAGCGACTCGTCTTCACGGGCGAGAGGGCGTTCGCTCGAGAAAGAACGAAAGAGCGATATAAAATAAAAAGTTCGTCACTTCCGGATCCCATGCGGCGTGGACGCGTGTGTCCGTGCGACTGCCGTGACGCAATGAAAAGTGTTGGAAAATAGATGGGTGCGCTCGCGCGACAGTCACTTCGCCGGCATTGTGTACTCGGAAGGAAGTCCAGCTCGGAAGCGGCGCTATTCATGAATTCCGAGGGGATTCTAGAGGGGACGTGCGTGTACGTGCGCGCACTTCTCTCCGTGTGTGGGTTCGCTAATGCGCCCTCCACTCGCGTGTCTCCTCTGTGCGTGCGTGCGTGCGTGTGTGTGTGTGTGTGTGTGTGTTTGTGCGCGCGCACGTGCGTTCCCGCGTATGCGCGCGCGTTCGCGAATATATCCGGGCGCTCTCTCATGGCGTTCGAAAAATAGTACATGTTCCACTTCGCAGGATTTTTTCCGAAGTTGCTGCCGCCCCGGGCCGAGAGCGGCCGGGGGAATGACGCTGCTCCGAACGCGACGTCCAAACGTCGAATTTTCGGCGCGATATCGCAAATTGGCGAGAGTGACGGCGGAATTGAATGTTCGCTCCGCCACACGTAATCGTGCGCGTGTGTGCGCGATACGAGCTCACCTGGATCGACGTGGAGTCGCGCACACGTGCGGGGGGAGGAGAGGAGAGTAGGTGGACGAAAACACGTGACTGCCCGCACTAAGGCGAGTGGGGAAGCGAGCGTGTTTCGTGGGTGGCGGGTCCCCGTTCGTGTGCTCAGTGCATAATCGCGATTCACGAACCCTGCAGCAGGTCGTGCCACTGATTCGCGCGGGTGGTTGACGTTTAACATGGGCGTCGTCGGGATTCTCGCCTAAATTTAACGCGCTCTCGCTGCGCGCGCGATGTCGCGAGGCCCTGTCGCGGCGCTTCTCTCTCGTTTGCTGCGCGCGTTCTCGACGATGTCACTATAAGTTGCGCGATTTCGCGCCGATTCGCACGGGTCTCGCTTGTCGATGCGCCGCGTGAGACGAACGCGGAGAGGAAAGGACCCCCGGGAGGATCACGCCCGCGTCACGCACCGTCTGAGGTCTTGGAACAGCAGTTCGCGATTGTCGCATGAATTAGCGTATAGTGTCTCGATTAATTGCAAGTAAAGAGCGAGTCGCTCTCCCGAGATACGCTCCACTCACCGCAACGTCCAACCGTTTCTTTCAGATGACACAAAAGTCGACCACAGTTACGCCAATCCGAACGGTGCTCTGAAGAACTGTCCCGGCGAACAACCAAGCGACGTTAAGAAAGGTAAGAGTTCTCGATATCGACAAAAGACGGATATATACTTGGAATGCTGGGCTGGACCACGCTTATTTGCATGATCGCTGGAACACTGTATATATATATATATATATATATATATATATATATATATATATATATATATATATACTGTTCCATTTCTCTCTCTCTCTCTCTCTTTCTCTCTTACTCTTTTTTTTCTCTTTATCAAGAGTTATCCTACGATTGCGATTGTCTGAGGCGATTTCTTTAAAAGCCTCTCGAATCGCGTCGCGCAGAGAAGAAAGCCGGACGCGGACTAGGTAAAACGGGAAGTGTATCATAACGAGAATAGAGCCGTAATCAAAGTGCCGACGGCGAAGAAGGCAGTTGTCGCGTTGGTTGCGCTCGAGGATTCAAACGCTTGAATGCTCGTAGGATATTCAAGTGAGCACAATCATCTTGAAAAAAAGGAAATATATTCCATTCCGGTCTTCGGATAAATTCCCAGAGAGCGTCCTTAAGCCTCACATCTTCCCGAACGTTGTTTCATTCTAATAATCTTGTTTGCCTCATAGTCAAAGCCGACAGCGATTCGTGTCCCGTAGAAATTCGCGGGAGGGATAGCAGCTGCAATTTCCTACGAAACGCGACCTCGCGCTGCAGCGGGAAACTTTGAAATCCCGTCGTTCCTCTTCCGTCCGGAACGCAACGAGGATCGTAGCGAGGTGTCGTCCTTAAACGCGAGAATGCGCCGAATGCGCTGAAAAAAATCGCCCGCGAGTGGGCGAGCGCGCGTAGCAAATCTTAGGGCTAGAGACGCGCGCGAAACCGCGCGAACCGTCTGCGGAAAGTGGAGACCGGGAAAGTTATACAGTTTCGCGAGGGGATCTTCCGCGTGCGAGTGAGGAGAAGGAGGAGCAGGTGGAGAGTCTCGCGAGCGCGCGTCTCTCTCTCTCGTCCCGAGGATCTCTCCACGAATTCGCGACATCGCAGGACGTCGCGACACGCCGTCAGGCTACGTGACCGACGCCGCGGAGGACGCCGCGATGCCGCAGGGGAACGCGCGCAACCGCAGCCGCGGCCGCAGGAACCGGAATCGCCGGCGGGCGCAGCGGCCGGTCGTCGTCGCGGAATCTCCGCGGAATGACGAAAGACGGGAGATGCGGCCGGAGGAGACTCCGGAGGCGATGAACGAGGCGAGCAGCGAGCGCGTCAACGACGAGGAAGACTCGAGGACGACCGAAGACGACTCCGCGACGCCGGAGAGTGGCGATCTTGTCGTCGCGAGCGAGGATCGCGGCGCAGGATCGTGCCGATCCCGGCCGGACGAGCGACGCAGGATCGAGAAGATCGAGCTGCGATCGTCCTGCCCGCGAATAGTCGAGATCACGACGATCAGCAGTTTGCCCCTCGAGGCAACGATCGGCCACATCGCCGGGGTGGGTATCCTGGAGACGGGAATCGGCGACAAGGCGACGAAAGACTCGACGACGGTGACGATATCCGAGCCCGTGGAGGCGATACGGCCGCTCGGTGAGCGCGTCAGGACCAAATGCACGAGGTTGCTGCACGAGGGCGACGGCGGCGAGGACGTCGAGTGGACGGCGAGGAATCGATTGGAGATTCGGGAGGTGAGCGACAGCGACGCCGAGGCCGACTGCGGTCGACCGACGATCGTCGTCGAGATCGAGTCCGACGCGGAGAGGGAGCCGAGCGGTGCGCGAGATCTCGCCGCCGAGCATCACGGGGGATCGAAACCGAGGAATCGGCTCGGTCAGCAGCAATTCGCGTCGCGGAAGAAGCTGGCCAAGTCGGAAGCGGAATATGCGACGTTGATGTGGGACACGGTGATGCCGAGGGAGGTCGAGAGGAAGCTGCGGAATTTCATCGAGGATCTGCAGCTGCCGAGCTTTTCCGAGGAGGTTACCGAGGAGGACGGCAGATTCTCGGAGAAGCTGTCCCGGGAGATCGCGCCGACCAAGTCGGCGGAGGCCAAGTCCCCGGAGAAAACGGTTGCCGCGTCGCGCCGGAAGACGAGGAAGCGCGCCAACTCGGAGTCCCATTTCGCCAACAACTTTCTGGATATCATACAGGAGGAGGGCGAGCGGCTGTCGGAGGACGAGGCGCAGCACATCAGGGACTTCATCAACAGCGAGATCAGTAAGTATCGGCGGCAGGAGGATAGGCACTCCACCGAGAAGACGGTCGATCCCGCTGAGGTCGAGACGACCGAGGGGCGCGTGTGCGACATCACGATCAACATCGACGCGTCGGAATGCGACGCCGCGAGGAGTGATCGCTGCGAGGGAGACGATTCCGCGACGAGCGAACCGATGGGCGAACCGCGAAGTAACGCAAAGTCGCACGATGAATCTGACGAGCCCAAGGAGCTCACGACGAACGAGAAGCGAAACGACTCGAGCATCGCTGATCCCATCGACGGGAGAATTGACGTTTCGGAAATCGGCGCGGTGAGCGACGTTGACGAGGAAGAATTAGCGAGCGGCGAGCAGGAAGACGTCAATAATAACTCGAGCGTAAAAAATATCTCGACAGGAAACGACGTGAATGACGTGAAGCGAGTAGAGGACGATAGATCGCTTATCAAAGTCGAAACGGTGAGAGGATCGGAGGAATGCGATTTTCCTCGTCTGGATCCGATCGAAACGCGCGCGGTCGATAATCACGGCGCGCCACGAAGCGCCGACGAGGTTGCTCGTGCGTTGCGGAACGGAGCAACCTCCTCGTCGGAGGAGAGACGGCCGTCGCCGCCGCCACCTCCTCCCAAGAGATCGTCTAGCTTGGGCCAGGAACCTCCGAGACCACCGACGCCATTCGAAATAGACTGCATCTTGAACGGCGCAGACGTTCAGCAGCCACTGGCGAGTTGCGAGATCGAAGTGGCGAAGGAGCGAGCAGCACCACGACGATCGGAGCTTTCCGGAGGAGGCGGAAGCTTCTCGAGGTCCGGCCAGCGGCCTCGGACTCGCGCAGATGAGATTCGCGGTTTCCCGCGTGGCTCCTCGAGTATCGTTTGCGTCGATGAGATGCCTCGAGGCCACGCGAGGCAGGTGAAATTAGTGGACACCACCTCAACGACGAGGAATGCCGCGGAAGCTTCGGGCGCGGGCGGTCCGCCGATCGCGTCATCGGGTATTCGCGACGCCGGGACGCTCGGCGTCGCGCTGCCAAGCACGGCCAGCACGGAAATAACGCTTTGCGAGAAAGGGAAGCGGCTCGTGACGTCCGCTGCATCGACGGCGCAGCGTTTGGTTGAGCGAGACGCCGACAGGTCGGACAGCCGACAGGTGGACGAGAACGAGCCGTGCGAGTGTCCTTCGGCCGAGGAGAACTTCGAAAAAGGGTCTCCGAAGGCGAACCGAGACGCGAGCGCGATGGCCGGACAAACGACGAAGGGCGACGATAAGTCGCACGCGCATCCGAGTTGTTCAGTGGAGAATAACTCATCGGTGTTTCATCGGGCTCCATCGGGCGCAAGAGAGCACGAGCGGAAGCTCGGGGAAGAGGAGGAGAACGATGGCCAGAAGTCGATGTCGAGATACCGTCACGAGCGGACAGTGAAGAGCGAGACGTCGGAGACGAGGATAATTGAGCGACGCGAAGAGAGCTCGAATGTTAACCAGCGCAATGGTCCTCGCGATTCCAAGTATTCGACGTGGGAGTCGAGGCGCGAGGAGAAGTACGAGGAGAGGCGCGAAGAAACGCACAGCTCCTCCCGGCGAAGCGACGCGAGGAATTCGTCCGACGACGACGACGAGGCGAGTTTCCGACGGGCGGCGGACGTCGCGGCGGCGAATCCCTCGCCGGAGAGCAGCGAGCCGGCGGACCTTCAGGGGCACGACTCGTCGACGAGCAGCACCGACGCATCCCAGAGCACCGTGAAGCACTGTCCGCTGGAGGAGACGTCGCTGACCGACGTCAACGCGATCATCCGAGAGACGAAGAGCGACGATTCTCAGGAGGAGCCGGACGAGTCCCTGAAACGGAAGCTGACCCTGCTGAAGAACGGAGGAGGACTCGCCGCTGGCGACGTGTCGGGGGAGAGCTCCGAGTCGCCGCAGCCGGTTCCTTACTCGCCCGTGGAGGACCTTCGCTACACGCCGTTCAAGACCGACGACGAGGACATGTCCGCGAGAACGCGAGTCTTTGAAGACTCATCGCCGTTAAGTCTCACGAGCGCGCAACCGTCCTCCTTGAGGGAGCTCTGCGTGAAGAAGATCCTGTCGCTGCCGTTCGGGCCGCGAGTGATCGGTGAGATCGCCACGACGCCGGGACTCGACATCTTCGAGAGCCTGCGGACGCTGCAGAGGTTTGTGAGTAGCGTGCCGAGCGCTCGTCGCGATAACGCCCGATTAAACCCGCATGGAGTGATTGATCGACGGCCGCGCGGCGCGGCCGGACTAACGAAAGCGACGCGTGGGAGCGAGCCGCCACCTAACGACCTTGAAAACGCTGTTTCAGAGTGCGCTAAATTGTTGCCAGAGAACGTTAATATTGAGACTCGTTTATCAGAGTCCGAGACAGAGATGGGGCACCGTTGGCGAGGCCTCTCCACGTCGGAGGACCCGAGACTGTTGGTCTGCCTGTCGCCGTCCCAACAGGCCACGTCTGGGCGCGCGAGCGCCGACGCCTTGCTGGATCTCCATCGGAAATTCTTGAATCGGTACAGCTACCGCGAGGAACAGCCGCAGTGTGTCCCTCTGCCGCAGTACCGGGTGCAGGTGCGCCCGATGGCGTCCTCCTCCCTCGACCAAGGGGACGACGACGCCAAGGAGTCACCCGAGCCACCCGCGCGCGCCCTTCAACGTGACACTGTCGGCAGGTCGAGCAACAGGCTGCTGGAGATCATCAAGGAGCACGCCGACGTGAATGTTTCTCGGAACGGTCCGCTCGCGGATCGCCGCTCGAAGATAATGAACGGCGAGTCCTCGAATCGGTGCACTTTCGGGGGTCAAGAGCAGCGTCTCAAGGCCGCTCGTTTGAGCGACTGCTTGAATCAGGCTAGATATGATTGCCGGAGCGCCGCCGCGGACGAGCTATTCTTGGCGGCGGCGGGGGACGAGGCTGGACGCGACGATAAGCCGAGTCACGTGGCTCAAGGAGATCAGTCTAGGATTGCGACACGGTGCGTCGGCGGCCATCGGCCATCGTCGAACGATGCCGCGATAGCTCGCGATTCGAAACCGCGTCGACCAGACGCGTCCGGCTCGTTCGCGAGGAGCTCGATCGCGCCGAGCAGCAGCGCCGTTGTCGATCGATCGTCGGGCGGTGCGATGGACGCCGGCAAGAGGACACCACCCTGGAGAACGGTCGACCCTGGCAAGCACGTGAACCCGGCGTTGATCGACGATAAGTTGGAAGTGCCACCCTTGCCGAAGCGCACGATTACGGTGGACAGGTCGTGCATCGACACCACGAGCATCTTCGATCAGAATCCGCCGAGAAGCCACTTGGAGCCACGGCGGGGCCACGAGACGGCGGCGGAGAAGCTCAAGCACGTAGCAGCCGCGGAGATCATGGACAAGCTGAAGAAGCTGCAGACGGAGACGTCGCGACGGCTCGATGGCGACAAGAGGGGCTCTCTGCCGCAGGAGTACTTCGCGCAGCAACTCAAGTATATCGAGATGTTGGAGGAGCAACTAAAGAACGTGATATTGGCCGAGGAAGAGGAGAGAAAGGCTTTCGAGGAGCTGCAAACGCACGTTCGTCGGACGCGACGATGCGACGACGCGAAGAAATCGCCCCTCATCGATATTCCTGAGGAAATGCCGGGGAAAACCGGCCAGAAGACTTCCGCGCGTGAACGCAAAATCCCGATCGAGCTGCGCGACGATACGACGACGGGCGAAGAGTGTGCGCGGAGCAAACCAGAGGAGTGCCGAGGACTTCCCGAGGAAAATCACCTCACCTCCGAGAAGAAGAGCGAGCCGCCGGAGGTCCAGGCGGAAAGCTGGCGAGAGAAGTCACGGAGAGTGGAGAAAGATCGCACGGAGACCATCGACAAGGCGGGTAGTCGACAGTTCCGCAGGAAGGTGCACCACGAGAACGGTGTACACGAGGAAGAGTCCTCGGAGAGTATCGAGCACGAAGAGCACCACGTGATCAGCGGGAAGGGAGCGGCAAGAGCACCGAAGAACGTGGCGCCCAAGTCTCGCGAGAACAACGCTGACAAGCGTCGCGCGGAAACTCCGGCAACGGAGACACCGAGGAACACTGCCACCGAGGTTGCCGAGAACGCGACGCGGTCGAGCGTTCGCAAGAACGTCGCGGCGAAGAAACTTTCGACGTTGCCGACCAACGGGGAGGCGTTTCGCCAACGAATGTACGACGAGTATGTGCACAAAGTGCTGGAGCGGCAGGAGCGGAAGAATCACAAGGTCGTGAAAATCAGTTCTCACGAGGACATCCGCAAGGTAAACGGCGAATCGAGCGGCATGAGCGCCATGGCGAAGGAATTCATCGAGAAGGCGCGTAGCCGGCTCAGCAAGTTCGGAATCGATCTCGACGAGAACGGAACGGAACGCGAAGAGGAGGAGGAGGAGGAGGAGGAGGAGGAGGAGGAACGTCGGGGGAACCGCACGGTGATCAAGGCTAAGTGTCTGATCGATGGCAAGGAACTCGAGGACGCTCGGAAGCTGCCGAAACACCTGCGGGAGTTCCTGAAGATCTCGACGATGACCGACGACGACGGCACCGAGGGCGGTGAGTTACGGCGAATGGGCGATGGATTGCTGTGTTGCTCGTCGTGTTGCGAGATTGATGCCGATGGTTGATGGCTGTTCGAGATGGCTCCTTGCCCGAGGATGTCCCGACGAGGCGACCCCTGTAACAACCACTAATACGTAGCGCTCGCGCATCCTACGCGATGATGCCGTCCGTAGATGCCTAGTGTTTGTCGTCACTAACGATGTTGATGATATTATGCTAATTGTCCACCTATCCACCTGGCGCCGAGTACGCTAGAAGAGAGGCTGAAGCCGGACGAAGCGGATGGGGCGAACAAATCGTCAATTTTTCGTTCATGTTCATTCTGATTGTTCCTCTCACAATCGATGGATCAATCTTCGCGTTGAAACGAGATCAGTGTTGGCATTGACTGATTAAAATTTCCTTTGATTGAAATAGTCGGCAAATCGTCATATATGTAGTCTCGAGTAATTGGTAATTTATTCGATTGATGAAATTAAGGGGAGATCTTTCTTCAGATGGTCGAGAAATAGAAAGAAAAATTTTTACGAATTTTTTTCAAAAAGGGATCAAAATTTAAAACATTTATATTTCTTTTGGAATACTAACAAGTAAATCTACCCAAAAGTTACACTGCGATTTCTTTCTAATTTGGCACAAATATAGAAGTACAAAAAATATTGAAGTCGTATTTTTTCATTTTGGCCCACTTCGAGTTTCACGGGCAGTTTAAAACTTTTTAATGTTCTCACTCCTATCATCAACAACAATAATGTATAAGAAATAAAATTGAATATAAAAAAATTAAATAATTTTAACAAAATCGGTATAGCTGAGACACGAACCATTCTAAATTTCTTTAGCCAAGATTTCAATCGAGATATTTTTAATCTGTGCTAAATTAATTAAAAATTGTTCGAATCTCGAATTTGGCGATTTGTGCCAAATTAGAAAGAAATCGGAGGTTACCTTTTGGGTAAGTCGATGAAATCAAACGATGAAATTGTTTGCAATTTTACATATGATGTTTGATTAATTTGGATGATTGATTAGCCGATTATTTTAGTTAAAGGAAATTTTTATCGATTAATGGCCGATCACACTGGTCAATCACACGGGGCACACGTACACGAGGATCGTGAGCGGCAATTTCGCGTGAGCGATCTGACGTTGGTTCAACAAGGTCGTGAATGAAATAGTTGAGATTTTCCGAAAGATCAAGCGTGCTTAGACGCACGGCGTCGTCGTCGCTGGATCTTGCTTTAGCCGTCGGCGTAAACAAACTTTCTTAATGACAGCGATACGCGGCAACGAAACGAAATCTCATTACTGTCTTAAATACGTTTTCTCAGACAACTTCGCGATAGCGAAATTAGTTCCCGGCGATAAAGATGGAAACAGAGAGAGAGAGAGAGAGAGAGGGAGAGAGAGAGAAAGAGAAAGAGAGGGAAGGAGGAGAAGAGACAGAGGAGAAACAGAAAGAAAGAGAGAAAGAGAGAGAGAGACGGGTGAGTGAGCGCGTGCAGCAATGAAATCACTTTGACATAAGTCGGTATGCGTAATTGTTTCAGTCCTATAAATTCGACTAATATTTGATATCACGACGGGGCAAAATAGATCTCGCGCTGCAAATAATAAATTTCATCGTAAGAGCGACGCGCGAGCACGACGTTAATGAGTACGGCGTATTCGCGTGCATTTTTAATTAACGAGCGTTCGCCTCCCGAGCGTGGAGTTTTCGCGCCGCGAGGCGCGAAATGCAGTTTAACATTTTGCAACGCGCAAATATACCGCGATCGACACGCTCGTGCAATATTTTGACATTTATTCGTCCGCGGCGATCGATCGGTCGGTCGGTGCGGCGCACACAAGATGGAAAATTATTGTATTAATTATTGTATTAACATTTCAAGTCTCGTCCGCGCTCGCGTGAGCGTATAACGAACCGCGACATCTTGCGCGCGATAACGAATATCAGCACGGTGGCTCGGAGGCCATCGCGAATTGCGTCACGTTGTGTTCGCGTCCCTCTCCCTCTTCCCTCCCGCCCTCTCGTCGTGCCAATTAGTTACGGAATACTTCATCCAAGTGTCGCGTCGTCACAGAGCGATTCTTCGTCTCCTGTGCGCGCGCGCCCCCGTTTCTCCGCGATATTAAAATCCACGATTCACTCGCGCGACGTGACGGGCGCGATCTCGTTTGAACCTGTCAACGAATTCCACTTGATAAAGTTTCTCAAGCAAGTCTGGCCTGATAACGCACACGACCTATCCGTCAGGGTCAGGTGATACCGCGACTGTGGGAGGAAGAGCGATCGCGGCTCACTCCTCTTCTATGTCTAGCAATCGTCACGATAGAGCCGTCGTGCGCTGCAGCTCTCTCGTGATTCATTCGAGGATGTAAATCTAAATATAAGCCCCCTGGCGAGAAATAGGCCACCGCGCTCGTAGGACGCGTCCGCCATCTCGGCGGAACCACCGTCTTGTTTTCGGCTATTTTGAATCACCCGCGTTATGTGGCCTACTGGCCTGCTCGTCCGCACGCATCCTGAGATTACTTTCGTCGCGTCGCCGTCGTCCGAAAGAAACTTGCCCGCTGCGAATTGTCTGTCTACATACTCGAGCTGTCGTCGATGACAGATAGGCAGATAGATTTATATTTAGCGCCCTAGGGTAGGGTTTGTACACCTTCCAGTGTAAACAGAATGGTACACAAAAATGAAAGTACTCTGAGAGAAAGAACATGTAAGAAATGAGAAATATTTATTCGATGGGCATTAGTTATTTGCAACAATATATATATATATATTTTTTTACTTCGAGAAAAAGTTTCCTTTACGTGAAAAAAAATGTAAATTTTCCTGAAATCAATTTTGTGTGAAAACTACTGTTTATTCTAGGGTAAACTCGGATAAGATAGCTATATTTTTTTAACATGCAAAAAAAATACATTTCTTATTGTTATTTCTTAATAGTGTTTGGCACTACTTCACTGAAGCTTACACTACATAACATCAGAGTTAAAAGGGAAATACTTCAGTGAAATTATTTATTACAAAAATATCAAAACATGAGCATTGGCCATCTTACCTAAATTTTTAAGACAAGATAGCCATAAGGATTAGATGACCCATACATATTTTATGTTTAAAATTCTGTACCTATTATTTTATAAAATAATGAAAAAAACATAATTTGACATATTTATTTCAGTATAGGCTATTTAATATATATTATTTGTGAAAAATATAACATAAAATAGAAACCTCTATTACAAAACTTACATTCTAAATTTTTGATCAAAGCATATTGCACATAAGATTTAATTACTGTAATATTGAAAGTAATTTTTGAAATATAACGATTTTCGTTTTATAAATGTTAGAATGACAGTGGGCCATCTTACCCAAAATATGAGTGAAAGACGGTTATAATAGTACTTATAAATAAATAGTGAAAACGAAATTAAAAATACATGTTATATTACAATTTATATACCTGCTTTATGTATCTAACGTTGATTGCGATAACTTAATTGTAATTTATTCGACGTTACAGCAAGTTTTAGTGGACACATGAGAAATTTTACAGGTAGTGGAAAATAAGAATATAGTATAATATTCATAATCTTACTATTTCGAGAAATGTACTCACATACTACGATAAATACCGATTATCTTTGTGATTGATTATACAAACGCAATGTTTTGCAATTATTAGAGAAATTGTAACTTATAACCATCTTTCCGGTATGGCCATAATACCCGAGTTTACCCTATTTAAGCGCATAAATTCAGATTCCAGTAAACATGTTATTGGTATCCAGCAAATAAATGTCTTTTATTTTTCGAGTATTTTTTCTCTCATTGTAAAGACGAGTCGCTAACACGTGTTTACAAATTGAGAAGGAAAGAGAACATACATTATCGAAATAATTATCAATTTCGTATTAGAAAAGGGGAAAAACAGATTCAGAGAGAAAGCGAGAGAAAAAGAGAAAGAGCAACGATAGATGAATAATCGCAGTTCTTGTTATCCCGAGAATTATTACCTATTCTTTCGTTCCTAAGTGCCTCCTCTAAAAGCTTCGAGAAATCTGTATCATTGATGCTCGAACTAGTCAGTTCACGTGTAAATAGTTATCAGATTCTCCTGTCGCAAATTCAGCAGTGAAATTGATCGTCACGTCACTATCTCATCCGGCCGAAATTCGCCCCTTCATCGCACGCCGCTCTTTCAGTTTTTCTTCCTTCTTTTTCAACTATTTGCTTGTTTGCGAATGCTATTTAATATCAGAGCTGTGCAAATAGGTCGCGCGAGCTGCAGCGAGAGCGCGTGTCTCGTCGAACATTTCAACGATTAACGACAGCGCGAAAATTGAGATTTTTTGTGTTTTTTTTCTGTAAACACGATTATACGTAATAATTGAAGTTCCATGTAGGTCACGCCCGGTGTCACATCGTCGAGCTCACATTGTTATCTTGCCGCGACCGTGCGGCCGATATCGCGCTCTCGCCTATTATTATTATTAACTCGCTACGATTATTTGTATTTCGTAAGTCGCGTGAACCTTTCGGCGCGGTTACCGAAGCGCACGTTTATTTTCTATTCTAAGTTTAGCATGAAAGTTTAGCCGCAGCGCGCGTTCCGCCGGAGCTGTATGTGCGAATTTAGATATCCGCCTCAGCCGACTCTTCGCCAGCTCGCGTATCAATCGACAAATTGACCCTTCGTTGCAACTAAAAAAAAAAAAAAAAAGAACGAAGAAAAGAGAAGAAATGAGCACTCAGAAGTCGCAACAATTTCTCTATTCGTTTTTCATTCTAACATCTCTCTAACGGCTCTCTCGCTAATGTTACCATTACGCGTCGTTCAAAGTCAATTTATCGCACCGCCCTTTTTTTAGTTCTTTTTTTTTTTTTTTTGGTGAATGTGGGCATGCTTTTTTAATCAAAGGGAGTGGCCGCAATGTCGCTGCAAAGGGACGAGACAGTGAGAGCGATCTGCTGCACGAGATTGACAAAGCTTTGAGATTCGGCCGGGGATTTCTACTTGAACAAGGTGCGTTCGCCGTTCCGCTTGATCATTGATAGCATGCATTACGATAGTACTGTAAGATTATCTCCTGATGTTCTGCGATCGAAAATCACGTGACATATAATCAGCTTGACACCGGAAACACGAAAGAGAGCGATACCAAAGAAATTTCGGAGACGAATATATTTCGGGACGAATCAGAGTCTTTATTAAATTTGTAGCCTCTGGATGCTCTTCTGCTCCATGCAATTAGTGAAATTGCGTCGAGTGGAACGTGATTCTATTTGAATAAAATAGTAATTTAACAGTAATAGCGATATAACTGGCGTGATAATGAGACCCAAAGGAGGGCGATACCAAAGGAATCAACGGCAGCTTTTATGAGATTTTCTGGATATTTTGCTTCGGAAATTACTCTGAATGGGTGATTTTATAGAGAATAATATATATGAAATAGTGATTTAATAGCAATAGAATATAATTAATAATCTTAATGGCAAATATCCACGATGTACAGGCGTTCGCCAATTAAGATCGGATCCTAGAGAAGATACTCGCAGTACTCGGAATATCTGCTGGCGTTTGATGAAACGATTCTCCGATGCGTGCGTATGTATTCAGCAACGTTGGCTGACGGTGAATTCGAAATTGTATATAAAACGACGTCGACGTCGGCGTAGTAAGCGACGCGAGCAGGAGGCGCGGCACGGCGTCGAGCCTCGTCGGCGTCGCGACGCCTCAGTCGGTTGGCACCTACCGTACTTTCCCGTACCTCGTTGCCGAGAGGCTGTCCCGTGGAAACACAAAGTCGCCGCGTTGTGCAAAAGGAGACAGAAGGAGTAGAGAGAGAGAGAGAGAGAGAGAGAGAAGAAAAAGAAGCGTTAAACTCGTAAAGTGACGATGTTGGAGAAAAGTGAGTGATCTACTGCGACATCGTCGGCGTATTGTCGAATAAACGTGTGACGAAATCAGCAAAATAGGCGTTCGGGGATTCTCTCAACAGGTAGTTCCTCGCAGTCGTAAGAACGATCGACACTCGCGTATCCGCGATTTCCCGGAGAACGACGGATTCTTGCGGATAATCGCAAGTTTCGCGGGGAAATCTCGAACGACGCGCGTGGATGTCCAAGTGGCGGCGGAGGGAATTCAATTTGAAAACGGCATGACGTCCCTCAGTGTTGAGACTTATCGCGGAGCTCGGGCGAATTTAGCGGCCTTCGCTAGTGATCGCGAAGTCAAAATCAACTTTCGGGGCGTGTCGCCGTGCTGACATTTAACATGTCGAGGAATAAAGCGATCCACTTCGCTTTGTCCTTCTCTCCGCGGCCGTCTCATGGCAGCTCATTAAGGTCGCTTTTATATTAATGAATTGCGGGCTCATCGTGAAAGTAACTCTGAAGAGCACCCGAGACGGTATCGGACGCGACGTATAATGGAGAAGGGTTTCGCGTCGCGCAATGTTAACGTTGACTCGTGATAAGCATCGGGGTGCCCCGCACTGACGGTGAGCGGTTTGGCTTTCGGGAAATTGTTCCTTGAAAAGAAAAACACTGTGGCCGATTTGTTATCACTTTGATATTGCCGGGCAATTTTCGCAATACCTCAGCGAGCATCGCTGTATAAGTTACGGGGGAATGTAATAACTTCGGAACTGCAGGACAGGTTGTTTGACAAAACGCTGTTTGATGCTTTCAGAGAACGTTATGTTCGTCCCTACGTTTAAAGCCTCGTCAGCGAAACCAGGTAAATTTGTCGGAGAATCCGTGTGGTGTATACGTGTGTGTGTGTATGTTGTGTGTGTGTGTGTGTGTGTGTGTGCATGCGCGCGAGAGAGACTAATCAAGTTTCAATTTTTGTCGTCGTTGCGCGTATTTCACATGTATTTCACATGTATGTATGTGGATGTTTGAACAATACTATTTAATCCTACGATATACTCTCGATAATATTTAGCTCACATTTTCGAATATTTACCAGACGACGAGAGAATATTCGTTAATTAATAAGCTTCCGTTAATTAATCGACTGCCCGTTCCAATGTGGAATCGGGGACGAACTTGAAAATGTAGGAGATGAATTATAAGCAACACCAACCGAAATTGCCATCGAGAGTACATCTATGTTGTGTTAACAAAGAGTCACCCCACGGACGGACGATGTAATAAAATTAATGAAGTGTAGGGTGTAGCCGCACGCGTATTCTTAACGGCGAAATCGTAATTAAGTTCTCATCGCGCCATGTCGCGCGCGCGTGTTGTATATATGTATGTGTGACGTGTTGCTGCGTGCATGCTTCGACGTATAACGCATGTCGTAATCTCGTGCCGTAATCCATCCAGGTGAGACAGGTAGGCGTGCATTAATTTCGGCGGCCTGTCACGTAAGGGTGTCCTCCCTGCGGTATATCGATATTGCCCCCCCCCCCCCCCCCCC